GAATGTTGACATGAATGAATTGACAAGTGGGTAAAGAACATAATCCAAGTTCATAAATAAGGAAAAGGGATCAGAGAGTTAGGTGTCTTGCTCAAAACACCCAGGAAGTAACATGTGGGGCTGGCCTAGAACTCAGCTATTCTGTGTCCAAATTCATGTTCTTCTGGTGTCCTGTCCTACAAAAGGCCAAGTGGATAAATTCCAATTTGGTTCCAAGTCTTGAAAACTGATATTGACCAATATCTTTCTGATATCAGAAAAGACAAATCCTATATGAACTAAACAATACAGATATTTGTGTTGTTACTGATTGGCCTCTATCAACTTTATATTAAGTTTTATTTTAAATCAGTTGACTAGAATTATCATGTGATTGACATCCACTGATATTTTAGTGCAAATTAATATCCCGTAGGATAATCTAGAATATTGCTAACACTCTCCTTCTTTTGAACATACACTTTCTCTTTCTAATGAACCCATAATAATATTTGACCTTAGCTTTTTATAGTATCAAAATTAAGGAACCATGCTTTTCTTCTTTCCTTTAATTTTCCTCCCAAAAATGTTTTTATGGTGGGAAAGTAATTTAAAGATCACCCACTGAGCCAATTTGTCACTGTTGAAGTGAAAAGTAAGGAGGTTAAAGGTAAGCATGGGAAGAGACTTCAAGGATCCATGTGACAATAGATTAGAGTTGAAGACATACATATAAATCCATGTTTAGCTTAATATAGATACAAAGGGCTAAATAAAAAACTATTTATAGATACACACAGGCATAGATTAGTATACAAATAGTCCCCAACTTGCAGTGGCTCGACATAAAATTTTTCAACTTTATAATGTTGTGCAAGCATTCAATAGAAACCACACTTTGAATTTTGCAAGCCACATGCAGTAAATAATCTCTCGCGATGCTGGGCAGTGACACTAAGCTTAGATTCCAGTTAGCCGTGCAGTCGGGAGGGTAAGCAACCCATACACTTTCAACCATTCTATGTTTAACTTTCAATACTGTATTCAGTAAATTACATGAGATATTCAACTCCTTATTATAAAATAGGCTTTCCTTAACAACCCAGAAAATTAATAGGCAACCAACGGAATGGGAAAAGATAGTTGCAAATGACATATCAGATAAAGGGTTAATATCCAGAATCTATAAGGAACTCACCAAACTACACGCCCGAAAAACAAACAACCCAGTGAAGAAATGGGCAGAAGACATGAACAGACACTTCTCCAAAGAGGACATCCAGATGGCCAACAGACACATGAAACGATGCTCAGCATCCCTCCTCATCAGGGAAATACAAATCAAAACCACACTGAGATACCACCTCACGCCAGTCAGAGTGGCTAAAATGAGCAAATCAGAGAACTCTAGATGCTGGCGAGGATGTGGAGAAACGGGCACCCTCCTACACTGTTGGTGGGAATGTAAACTGGTACAGCCCCTCTGGAAAACAGTGTGGAGGTTCCTCAGGAAACTAACAATAGAACTCCCTTATGACCCAGCAATAGCACTGCTAGGAATTTACCCAAGGGATACAGAAATGCTGAGGCATAGGAGCACATGTACCCCAATGTTCATAGCAGCACTCTCCACAATAGCTAAAACATGGAAAGAGCCTAAGTGTCCATCAACAGATGAATGGATCAAGAAGATGTGGTTTATCTATACCATGGAATACTACATGGCAATGAGAAACAATGACATCTGGCCATGTGTAGCAACATGGATGGACCTTGAGGGTGTTATGCTGAGCGAAATAAGTCAGGCAGAGAAGGACAAATATCATATGTTTGCACATATAGGAGGATTAGGAGGAACTTGACGGAGGAACAAGGGGGAGAAGAAGGGGGGAAATGGTGGGGGAAAGGGAGAGAGGCAAACCATGAGAGACTCTTGAATGCTGACAAAAACTGAGGACTGATGGATGTGGGGGGGCGGGGGGATGGGCATGGAGGAGGACACTTGTGGGGATGAGCACTGAGTGTTATGTGGAAACTAATTTGACAATAAACTATTTGTTAAAAAAAAAATAGGCTTTCCTTTAAATGACTTTGACCAACCACGGGCCAACTTAAATGCTTTAAATATGTTTAAGGTAAGCTAGACTAAGCTATGATTTTGGTAGTTTAGGAGTATTAAATGCATTTTGAACTTGCAATATTTTCAACTTAGCATGGATTTATTAGGACATCCATCACTCCACCATAAGCTGAGGAAGATCTGCACCCCCATGTATTTGCACACCCATGTATTTCCTTGTTGTCAGTTGAGAAGGCTTAGAAGTGATGACACCCCAACAGCAAGCAGCACACTTAGCACTCAGATCTTTGTTTCTAATACGATTGTCTAGTAACACAAACCAGGGCTGACCCTCAGACAGGAAAGATACAAGACAAACCTGGAATATCTTTTAGTGCTAGAAAGTAAAGAATGCTTTTATTTAAAGGACCCAATAATAATGAGATATGTTAAAGGGAGACAGAAACCAATGGACAGAGCACTCAATGGCCAAACCTGAAACAATGTGAGCAACAAAGTAAACAAAGTAGTATTGAATTATAACCCAAGCACAATAGAAATATTTATAAATATCCCTAAGCCCATACTGATATAAAAGCATTGAATAGATGGAATGGAATGGAATGAAATAGAACAGACTAGAATAGAATAGAAAGAATAGAAATCTCATATAGAAGCATAGGCTGGGTGGAGAACCATCAGGAATATTATGGAAGCTATTGGCCTGGGGGTGGGGGGTGGGGTGCTGCAAACAGACTGATCATCAAGGTCAATTTCAATTTTAAAGGCTGGAATTTTTTCTTTAATCTTATTTTTTTTTAATGTTTTATTTATTTTTGAGAGACAGAAAGAAACAGAGCACAAGCAAGGGAGGGGCAGAGAGAGAGGGACACAGAATTCGAAGCAAGCTCCAGGCTCTGAGCTGTCAGCACAGAGCCCGATGCAGGGCTAGAACTCACAAACTGTGAGATCATGACCTGAGCTGAAGTCAGATACTTAACCGACTGAACCACCCAAGTATCCCTCTTTAATCTTATATATAGCACCACCTTTAAACTATTGCCTTTAATTAAGCATTGTCCTGCTTCTGAGCTCTCTGTAGTCTTATTGGTCTTCTAACTGAAAAAATTGATTCCACTAGGAAAAATAAAGAGCACCCATTAAGAGGATGAGACCTTCAGCTTGTTTATATGCATAGGTGGGCATATCTCTAAGTATCTGATGAAGAATGAGTCATTTTTAGTTAAGAAAGTGTGAATGAAACATCTTTTGACTCTCCATCTTCTCTATGAAGTCCGTGCAAAAAGAACAGAAACTTTGGAAAGCATGTCTCCAGTTCACAACCAAATTTAGAACGTGTCTTCAAGATTTCTTCATATTCTTTCCAGAACATTGGGAAAGGCCCAATCAGTAAAAATAAATAAATAAAGTAAAATAAAATAAAATACACACATACACTTATTAATAGTAAAGGTTTTGAAGTTGATGGCCTCTGAAGATGAGTTTCTCATCTTCACAATGTTAGGTCCTGAGGGAGCAATTGGACCCGGTGGGAGTTTTCTCTGCTGTGTGGTGAAGACTCACTGTTTTACATATTAAATGACTCCAGTGTGTTTCCTCCTAGCCATCTCCTCCTCTTTATTCAGGCAGAAACCGTGTGATAGGTGCCCCAAAATGTGTGTTTCTGGAATTCCACTCACAGGAGAACATCAGATAGCTTCTTGGTCTACTTCAAATCAGAATGAATCTGATGGGAAGGAAAATGGGGAAAGGGAACTGAAACCAGCTTTAAGATTTTTTTCTCCTAAACTTCCAAAGTACAGGAAGTGAAGGTAATTATTTTATGGGAAACTACACATTGCCTGTGTATCTTCACCACCAACCCGCGACACACACAAACACACACACCAAGCCACAGGCGACTGCTATTGGCAAATGCCTCCTCTCCAATCACCAGATCGAGGAAGGGATCCCTAGAGCCCCAACGCACCAGCACCACCCCCAGATGGGGTCTCTGGCAGCCCCAGGCTGCAGCCTACTAGTCTGTGGAATGAAGGCGGGGAAGGTGTTGCAAGGAAATCCCTTGCATGCACTGTGGTATGTTAAAAATGCAGCATCATCCTCTCTGCTCTCTTTTCTTCGCCAGAAAAGCAGATTTCGAGGGCGCAGGGAAAGTGGAGGGGCAAAGCGGCTGGCGGCTGGCCTCCAGGAGCCCTCGAGCTCGCTCCCTCCACACCTCCCACCCCGCCCCCTCCAGGCTCTAATTGCCATTGCTCCAATGGGCCAGCGGCACCTTCACCAGTTTCCTCTTCCATTCACTCCAGCGAGGAGGGAAGAGGGAAAACAAAACTCTAAAAATAACTGCCAGCATCTTAAAAAAAGAAAAGCTTAGCTGCCCCCCGTCCCCACACCTCGCTCCCTCCCTTCTAGTCTCTCTCCTCCCCGCCCCCCCCCCGCCCCTTTTGGGGCACATGTCTGCTTCTTACAACACCGAGGCACATGGTTCCAGTGAGGCACCGAACCCCGTCAGGACGGAGAGGAAATCCACATCTGTGGGACGCTCCGCACGCAGCCACCTCGAGCGAGGCAGGCCGGGGGACTGCAGCAGCGAGATGAAGGGCTAGACCGAGGGAGCGCTGCTCATGCGGTGAGAGGGGCGCGGGGGGCGGCGGGGCGCGGGGAGGCCGGCAGGGGTGGGCCCCCAGCGCGCCGGCGGTATTTGCCCGCCTTGCTGCAACTTGCTGCAGTGTTTGAGAGAGTAGTAGGAGCGCATGGAGGTGGGGCCGGGGAAAGACCAGGCGGAGCGGCTGGGGCGGGGGGGGGGGGGGGGGGGGGGGGGGGGGGGGGGGGGGGGGGGGGGGGGGGGGGGGGGGGGGGGGGGGGGGGGGGGGGGGGGGGGGGGGGGGGGGGGGGGGGGGGGGGGGGGGGGGGGGGGGGGTGGCCCGGCGCTTACACATGTCACATGTGCTTTTTAAGACGGCCGGGAGCGCCTGCGAGCCGGATCTGGTGGAGGATGCTGCGGCAGGTGCTTCGCAGAGGGCTCCAGTCGTTCTGCCACAGGCTGGGCTTGTGCGTGAGCCGGCACCCCGTCTTTTTCCTCACCGTGCCCGCAGTCCTGACCGTCACCTTCGGCCTCAGCGCGCTCAACCGCTTCCAGCCCGAGGGCGACCTGGAGCGCCTGGTCGCTCCCAGCCACAGCCTGGCCAAGATCGAGCGCAGCCTGGCCAGCAGCCTTTTCCCCCTGGACCAGTCCAAAAGCCAGCTCTATTCGGACTTACACACCCCAGGGAGGTATGGCAGGGTGATCCTGCTCTCCCCACCCGGGGACAATATTTTGCTCCAGGCTGAGGGGATCCTGCAGACCCACCGAGCCGTGCTGGAAATGAAGGTGAACCACAAGGGCTATAATTATACTTTTTCCCATCTGTGTGTGTTGAAAAATCAGGATAAGAAATGCGTGCTGGATGATATTATTTCAGTGCTAGAGGATCTCAGGCAGGCTGCCGTCTCCAATAAGACAACAGCCAGGGTGCAAGTGAGGTATCCCAACACTAAATTAAAGGTACGCTCCTCCTGCATGCTTCTGCCAATTAAAGAGGCAGCACTTCATTTCTTGCCCTAAACAAGCAAAGAAAATGCAGAGGTCTCATCCTTAAGACTCAGAAGCTAATGCTTCTTTCATTTTGGGGACGGGGGGAGAGGGAAAGACGGGCAACTGAGTGAAGAAAACAGGCAATGAATGGTACGACTAGATATTAAGAAATTCAAAGCCAAACCAAACGAATGCCAAAAATGAAAAAAAAAAAAAAAAAAAAAACGGAAAAAAAGTTGTTTCTGAGACCCTGCAATTACATCTTTGTTCAGGGTTAATAAATCAGTGAACGGAAGGGGGAGGGGGAATCCTAAACAATTTGGGGGATTTCTTTTCATTATGGGGCTCGATGTATTTCTTATTACTGATTACACATCCACCTGGTACCATATCCACCTATTTGCATCCTCAGCCTGGCTTGATTTTGACACGCAGAGATTTTTGTGTTTCAGTGCCTTTTTGAGTGTGTGTATGAGAGCAGTGGATGTGAATGTAGTAGGGATTCCAGGAATTATGTGTAAGTGTGTTAGCCTAGCAAAAGAGGCAGAGCTGGTCTATGTGTAAAAATGAGGATATGCAGGTAACAGATGTTCTAGTATACGGAATCCTGTTCCCTTCCTTTCCCATGGCAATATCCAAACCAAACCAAGATGATTACAACCCAATCGCAAAGAAAAAAAGAAACAAATTCCACAGTCAGCAGAAGTTGCAAAAAAAAATGATTATTTCAGCACTAAATATATTATGCCGTTTGAACTCTCATTTCAGATTTTGTGGCTCCAATGAGATTTCTAAACTCAGCCCATACTGTCAGGATTGAGCTGCTGCAGGCAATGAGGCATGCAGTCTCCAGGTGACTGAAGTTTCAGGGACAAATGTGACTTCCAAAAGAGTCACTGCACCATTTGTATGCTCGACCCTGTGCATGCTCAGAAGCCACCCAGCCGAAAACTCCACGACAGGTGTTTCCCAAGAAGGAGGAATTTTCCTTCTTCTAACATTTATAAGGCTATGTGTGTACTTCCATGGCCATAATGGAATAGGAGAGCCCTTAGTTTGGATAAACGGATGGTCTAATATAGGAAACCATTAATACTTCTGTTTATGTATTTGATATAGTCAGCATTTATATACGATTTAAAAATAACTTTCTGGGTTTTTTTTTTTTTTTTAGATACAAAGGCTCTTTATTGTGCATTGAAGGAGGATTTAGTGCACTTAGAAACTAGGGATTCCTCAGGAAACCTCATAACCTGCCTCCTTTTAACATGTTGTCCTTGTTTAAATGCATCCAGAGGCTGACAGGGTGTCAGCTTTACAAAGCTGAGCAGTCCCTTGGGGGTTACTGAAACTAGACAGATGATTCATCAGCTTGAAATCTAGGTAAGGACTTGCCTGCCTCACACGTACTGAAGGAAACAAGATGAATATATGTGGTCAGGCAGTAATCTTCTTATTACCTGAATCTTGGCCATCAACATTATCACTTGCTACAGAAAAAAAGGATGCAGTGGAGAGGTGGTCTTCCTAGCCTAATCTTGTAACTGAGTTCTTACCCATGCCGGACATCTGGTGTAAAGAGAGATGTGAAACTGTGTCATATTTAAGTTTCAATTTGTTTTCCCTATTGAGGCAAGTTTACAGATGATTAACGTGCATTATTAATTGGGTCCCTTATTTCCTTTGTTCAGCAGTACTCTCCAGGTGTAACAGCCTGGTCCAACCAGCCACTGTGAATATTTTGTTTATCTGGCAATATCATTATGACATTTACAGTATAAACCCCTGAGGTCTTTAATGCACTCATTTAATTATCAGCTGTGTGCCTATGGTTTGCTTGGGGCTCTTCTAGGCACATGAGATAGAATTTGGGGTCAGAAAAGCAAGGTTCTTATCCTCACAGGGCTTAAAAGTAGTATATGTCAGTATATGTAGGATATGTCAGTATCCTCACCCGGAGTTGCCTGAGAGCAGGAATTCTGTAATCTCTGGGTTCCTCACTGAGCCAACACCATGCTAGGCCTATCATTGGTGCTCCGTCTAAACGTTTTGGCTGATTGACTGGTGGTCTACATCTTGGTAGGAGTCAGTGTATAATCATAAAAGAATGGAGTAATTGATGTCAAAGGCCAGTGTTGTCATAGTAGAATTATTCTATGAACCATAAAAGAACAGGAAAATTACACATTGGCTCTATAAACCGTAAAGCCTTGTTCTGCGACATTCTAATGTCAATGTTTCAGCACATGTGCTGGCTTGACTCTCACTGCGTGGCATCAGTGGGAGTTGTAGAAGCTAATGTTTGAGAAAATGAATCCTTTGAGTGTCTTCTGAGAGTTGTGGGCCTTCTCAAGCATCCAGATGTAATCTCACACATGCTAATGTCATATAATTTGTGGAGCACCATGGATGGCTAGAATCCTATCAAAGGGTCTCCAAGGACTTCTAAGTTAAGAACTCCTTGTCACAGAGCAAAATGAGATGGCCTTTTGTTTTGATTACATGTTATTTGGAGACGATTTTGATTCATGTGTAGCAGTGGTTGTCAAAGAGTGTCTCTGAGATGTTGATGCGTGGTAAAGTTAGAGAATTTCTGGTGTATGGGATTTGAGGGGAAATTTTGTACTTAACATTTTATGACCCTTTAATTCATTTTACTTTCCTCTGTCATACTTGGGTTGCCGCTCTTCCCAACTCGATATGGAAAACATTCAGGGTGGAAGATTCTACGGATGGGCAGGGAAGCAGGAGTTGTGGAAAAATGCAAAATGAATAGCACTGGCTGGACGATGTGAGTAGGGATTGGCAATCTCTTGACCCGAAAAAAGCAGTAGGTCAGTTCTCGGAGATAGTCTTAAGATGTATAAACACTGATTGACAGAAAGAAGCAGCCAGAAACAGTTCTGACCATTGGAAGGACATCTTCCAAATAGTGTTAAGACGCCCAAGTAGTCCTGAGCACAGAATGGAATAGAACTTCTGATAAACACGATTATCTTGACAAGGTGATCCGGAAAATCAGGGTCATAGAAAGTTGGCTGGTATGGAATTCCTAATAGAGGCTCAGATGAAGCTGGTATGAAAAAAGCAGGAGGAGGCTTAGAATACTATAGAAGAAATGAAACATACACGTTTCCAAAAACTGTAGAAAAGGTGCCCAAATCTGCAATTCCCATACCTGTGTAATAAGACCTCTATAAGGGTGCCTGTCATTAAAATCTTTATATTCTTATATCTATTATTATACTCCAGATGAGGCATGGAGTCCTGTCTTATATTCCTTCTATGCTATTTATGTGACCCCACCCCAACCTAATCCAGTTCTTTATAGATAGTATTCACATCATTGATTAGTCTGTTGATTAATGTGTACATTTGTGCTGTAATAGCACAAAATTATCATCACTTCTCACGCCTCTGAGGCATGCTTTTCTTTTTGAAGAGAGTCTCTACATTCTCTAGATTTCAATAAAGTCTTTTTGGCCCCAGTAGTTTAGAGACCCTGTTTTTTTTTTTCTACCTAGTAAACCTGCATATTGTATAAGTTAATACAGAGTGGCCAGACTGAATTTTTAAGTTACATACATAACACATTGCCAAAACCAGTCTCTTGAATAAAATGAATCAGGCACTCAAAATCCTTACGCAAGGACCACTCTGGACTCCAAGAAATATTTCCATGACTGTTCTAGTGACTCACGTGGTTGCAAGCGGTGTTTCTCATGGCAGACCATCATGACCTCACTTTTCCATCTGGCTAATTCTAAGAAAGTAATGACTTCCATGTCCCCTGTTTTTTACTCTGGCTACAGTCAAATGCACAAGTAAATAGAAGAGGCAGACACATGAGGTCCATAGGAAATGGTGAGAAAGAAACAAAGCAGATTCGATTCCCCTGCAGCCTGCCCTTCCCACCAGATTTCATTAATCCCACACCTATGGATAGATGTTTAACGGAAGAGTCTGTGCTTCAATATACCACACAGAAAGACCTTCCTGTTTCTTAATAAAGGACAGTGTTTCTTTGCGGACATTTCCAGGTTTGGAAGATGTTGCCATTGATTATTTCATTCCAGACTCAATGGAAGAACAACTTAAGCCAACGTGGAAAGTGAGGACCAACATTATTTTTAGAGATTTTTGAGAAAGTTTGCTGCTTATAGACCTCGTTCCCTAATTTATTCCAAAATCTTGTAAGACATCCACGTCAGGATCTTATCACAGGATATTTTGATTTAAGCTTACTTTCCTGACTCTGTCTCTTGATGGGGGAAGATCTTGCTACCTTACACAGTTCAGATTTACTGTGTACCAAGTGGTACTGGTGTTTTATACATAGCATGTTATTTTTACAAGTTTATGAATTAGGGGAGTATTTTTATTCTCATTTTATAGGTAAGGAAACTAATGGCCAGGTTAAATGGCTTCTATGAGGTCCCTAAGATAGTACAATTTGGAGCTGGTATTTGAATCCAGGTCTGTCTGTACTGAATTTTTAATCACAATACTGTATTAGGTTCTATCATACATGGCTCTGTGCCATTCTTTGTAACAACAGGCCTTTATACTAAGAAAAATCTTGTGCCATAATTCCCAAGCCATCTCAAATCTACATTAAAGGACCACTACTGGTTGTTCACGATAGTCTCCTGGCTCACTCAGAGCCACCAGTTCATAAGATGGTGAAAAGAAGTGTCACTTCTGTTATTTACCTTTAAGGGAGTGAAACTTACAGTCTGGTCAATCTCCTACCATATGCTGACCGTGGCACCTGCTACAAATTGTTTAGCAAATCC